GCTGTGTGACCTTGGGTAAGTCTCTTGTCTGCGTTCCATCAGTGAAATCAGAAGCCTGGATTACATCATCAGCAGGGCCCATTCCAGCTGACTGGTTGGCTTAGGTGTTTCACGAGTCCTTTTCCTAGTGAAAGCTGAAGAACAGACACTCTCCTGGGCCTCTTCCACACCAGGCTTCATGCTGGCCGACCCACCTAACTGCTTCTGCTCATTCAAAGCGCAGGGCCTCCTTGGATGGTTTACGTGGAACTCTTCACGCAAACACACACAAACAAGCAAATAAAAAAAAAAAAAGAGCAGGTAAAACCAAGATGCCGAGAAAATCGGTAAGCTTGCCAAGGTCACTAGAGGGCAAGTGGCAGAACCGAGATTCCAGGATTCAAAGGCTCGCCCCTCTTCCCATTATCCCTACACGCCTCCTGGTTGACCACGGCCACACCAAAATGGCCACAGGTAAGGGAAACCATTGCTGGTTCAGTTCTGTTTCCCAAGGCCAAATTCCTGCCGCGGTGGAGCAGAGGTCCTGAGTCAGCAACTTGGTGGGTGGGCGCTGGAGGCTGAACAGCTCTGTCATTAGAGACGAGATGGGGGCTCTACCACAATACCGCTAAATAAATAAATAAATAAATAAATGCGCAAAATAGAAAATGCAGGCTCTTTCTAGACTCAGTCTGTCTAACACTCGTACAGTTTTTTTAAAAAAAAAGTTGGGTGACTCCACCTGGGGGAGTAGCTCAGTGGTAGAGCATTTGCTTAGCAAGTCGGAGGCCTGAGGTCCAATCCCCAGTGCTCTGAAAATTAACAAGTAAGGAAAGTTGGTGTGGCTTCACTGCGTTTAGTCTCCCAGAACCTCAGATAATTCAAGTCCCGGGGCTGATGGGAGGATTTACCGAGCTAATGACCCATGTGAAGCTCTCAGCAGACCTCCTGAATACAGCGAAGGCTCAATCATTACCTGTTCTCCACCAAACAGAAAGTTGAGAGAGGGGCACAAGCTAGTCACTCTCAAGTTTGTCAACGGCAGGAGTTGTGAACCTGGAGTTCACAGGGCCCAGGATTGTGTGCAGAAAACCTCGCTTGCGCAGGGCCAAGAACACGAAGGCCTTTAGCAACACAAGCCCTTTCAACAAAACTTATCTCTGAACACGTTGACAGCAGTTGGCGGTTTGGTGGCGGGAGAGATCGCCAAGTCCTGGTCTACCTGGGTCTGCAGGACTTGTTGCTCAAACACAGAAAATGCTGAGTTCTCAGGGAGCTCCTGCAAGATCTAAGCACAAAGCCTTCAGGAATCTCCTCTGTAGAGCCAGTCCCCATGAGCCACTCTTCCTCAGCCAACAGTTGGGGCATTTGTTTCCATATACCACGAAGCTGAACACATGCGGGAGGCCGGTCCTTGACTGGCAGCTTCCAGAAGCACCTATGTTCAACTGCAAAAGGCACCCAGCTCAAAGCGGGGGTTCAGGGATGGCCAGCTGCGGCACCTGGTTCTCCAGGGACCTGCCCCTCCCCTGATTGGCCTTGACTTGGGTAAAGCCTGGGTGCTACTGCAGCCTTTGGCCCAGTGGGCATGGTCCAAGCTGCCCACTGGACCCTCTCCCGTTGTTGGGACAACCGTCCTCAGGAATTCCAGCCTCCCGGTCTTCGCTGGGTGAAAAGGGGAGAGAGCTGGCAAAGCTGGCAGCTTGGCTGCTTCTCCACTCCCCTGGTGAAAGGGGGAACTGAAAACTGGATTCTCTACCCCCAGCAGCTCCACGGACAGCACACAAAACAGCTTAGTCCCAGAGGGTGGAATGTGCCAAGACATTCTTTAGGGTTGGTAACCGGAGACGCTATTTTGTCCTTGGTGGCTGAGAAATCCCTTTTCCAACTGAAGGACCATTTGACTGACTTCTTTGAAATTCGGGGGAATGGGTGGGCAAGGCTGTGATGTGTGCTCAGATACACACACTCTTAAGGAGTGGAATTTCCTTAAATGTGATTTCTCGCTTGTTTGTTTCCCACCATTAACTAGTTGTGGAGATGGAACTAACTACTCTGGGAGAATCTGCCTCCCCTCCCTAACCCCTCCTTCAAAACAAGGTTGGCTCTTTTCAGCCTTGTTCAGCTGCCCCCTGCTCATGCTACTAGACAATTCCCATCATAGCTCCTTCTCCTCACAATCAGCTAGGGTAGGAGAGACGGGAAGGCTGAAACCAAAGCTCTGGGCAGCCCATGGAGAACACTTAGCCAGCCTCTTCCATCACCCAGGGAGACTCAGACCTTACAGAGGGTAAGCAATGAGCCCATGCCCACACAGGCAGAGTTAAAAGGCAGAACCCCTAACCAGGTGTACAAGAGATTTCAAAGACAGAAAAGCAAACATCCTTTGCACAGCTCCATCCCAATACTCAAAGGGGCCCTGGAGAAACACAGTGCCGGCGGGATGAGCAGAGGGTATAAAAATAAAGAATAAAGAATGTGAGAATCTCCATCAAGCACCGGTCATGGGTGTGACTTCTCACCAAGCCAATCTGCCTAAAAGCAGAGGTTGTTTGGGCTCAGCCTGGTGCAGAAAGTAAGACATACCATCTAATCAAAGTAGGATTTTATTTTTTTAAAAGATTCTTTTCTGTTAATGACAATGTATATTAATAGTTCCTCATTTGTTAAAATGATACAAAAATTTTTAAGTGAGTTGGGGTAAAGCCAAGCATTAAGGCACAGTTCAGGTGGATATATCAAAAAGTTATGAATATGGCACACAACTCTATAAACTGGGATATTATGTTCTAGCTAGTCAATTCTTGGGAAGCTGCTCCCTTGCCCTCTTCCAAGGCCAAAGAATTACTTGTGTTTTCTATGTTGTCTTATTCCGTCAGATGCACACTCATCACGGCTGGCAGGGTAGTCCTCACCCACAAACATGAAATCCTCCTGCTAGCAACACCCATGCTCAACCGCTGGGACTTACAGTGTAGGGCACACAAGTTTGAAGTTGTTTGTTCTAAAGAGAAGACAAGGGAAAGGGGTTGCCAAGCTCACCAACACAGCTCTAGAGCCCCTGGGATACCTTGACCTGAGAGGTATGGGGAAAAATGGAAGACACCAGTAGAGGTTACGAAGTCAGAGAATAACAACTTAGTAAACGTGGAAAGAGCCAAACAGTAGAGTAAATCACATCCCTGGGTTTCCGACTTTCTCTTGTGTTTAAAAATGGGAAAATGGGCTAGATGCAGTGGCATGAACTTTTAATCCCAGCCGTCTGGAGACAGAGACAGGCAGATCCCCTTGAGTTCCAGGCCAGTCAAGAATACACAGGAAGCTCTTATCCAAAAAAACAAAATGAACAAAAACAAAAACAAACAAAATATAATGGACGCTCACGCCTTTATTCCCAGCTTTCAAGAGGCAGAGGCAAGGTGGGTGGAGGCCAGCCTGGTCTACAGAGAGAGTTCCAGGACAGTCAGAACTGTTACACAGAGAAACCCTTTCTCAAAAAGAAAGAAAGAAAGAAAGAAAGAAAGAAAGAAAGAAAGAATAATTTAAAAAGTCCTCAGCCAACAACAACAAAAAACAAAACCCAAAACCCCACCAAAATAAAGAAATAATAAATAAATAAATAAATAAATAAATAAATAAATAAATAAATAAGGGAAAATAGGAGTTGGGAGTTGGCAAAATGGCTCAGAGGGAAAGGCATTTGCTCACGGGAGGTTGCCAGATGGAAGGAACAAACCTGACTCTTCCAAGTTGTCTACTGACCTCCACATGTGCACACACATGTATCCATCCATACACACCATTAGTAACCACTGAAAGAGCCAGAGGTGTTAAGTTGGGGGAGCATGGAGAGGAATTGGGCTTGCATTTTCTGTATCCTTTGCGACTTTGTGTTCTGATACAAGGTCTCACTCTGTAGCCCTGGTTGGCCTGTCTGTTTGAGTTCTCATTACTACTCCTTCCCTTCCAAGCCAACTATGAACCAGACATAATGGGAAACTGAGGCCAAAAGATGAAAGCAGCCTGCCTAACATTCTGGAGCGTTAGATTTTTTTCTTTTCCAAATTACACGAGGACCAGAGCTGAGCAAAGAGTAGCACTCATGAAATGCTGAATGAATGGATGGATGGACTCAAGAGAAACTGAATTCATGCTGGCTGGCTTTTTTATTTTTGTTTTTTTCTTTAATCTTGATATACCGGGTCCTTCATCTTCTGGTGCTTCACTGGCACCTAACCCCCAAGGTCACAGACCAGGTGAAAAGTCAACATTCCTGGGACAGTCGACCTGCCTCAGTCAAAACTACACCCAGCGAGGTGCCCACCAAGGTCAGGACTGGCTGAGGAGCCTCGGCCCCAGGAAGGAGAAAGGGAGGAAAGGAGGGTACCGGCAGGGCTTTGCCAGAGGCCTCTCACCTCCATCTGCATCCTGGCAGTTTTTAGCTTGCTGTGAGATTCCTGGAGAACCAGTCTCCCTCTCTCGCCCTCCCCCGCTCCCTTCTTCCCCTCCCACCTCCGGCTTCCCCAGACTTGTTCCAAAGCTCTTCTCAGCAGCCAACGAAGCACCTGTCAAAAAGCTGCTTTCGCCAAGCAGAATGTCCTTCCTCCAGGAGTCTCCTAGCGACCCTTGGGCTCCCTACCACCCCTCGATACCAGAACCACCTCCTCTCAGACAGGGGAGTCCCCAGGGAAGATTCGCTTCACCTGACTTGGTCTTTGCCTTCATCCTGGCCAGACCCTTCTTTGTAAAGGGGTCGGGGACGCCTCCAGAGCTTAAGGTCAAAACTCTGGGCAGGTGCCACTGGGGCCTAAGTCCTCCACCTGGTGCTGGCTGTGGGCGGCCCGCTTGGCGTCCACCCTTCTCTGCAGCTCTTAGGGCATAAGTGCAGCCCAAGAAGGGGTGAGGGTGTGGAGGGGGCAAACTAAGACCTTCTAAGTGGCACGCAGAGTTGCCCTGCACACCAAGGGCAGGTGCGGCCCAGGCGCGGTGCCGAGTCCGGATCGGAGCTCCCCGAGTCCTACCTGTCCCGTGGGTCGATCCAGCTGGTGGTGCGGTTCCTGTGGTCTATGTAGTAGACCTTGCCGTCGAAGTCGCGCGCCTCCTCCCAGCCCTCCGGCAGGGGTAACTCCGGCCGGGGCATCTTCCCGAGCGCGGCCCGCGCTCCCCCATGCAGCTCGCGGCCGCCGCGGGGCTCAGCGGCTCGGGCCGG